TTTCTTTTTTCTCCTAGCAAGCCAGAGCGGTGAACAACGAACATGTCTTTTCTTTATTTTTTTCCCTATGTGATAGTGTGGTACGACGCTCTATAATGTATAAAAAAAAAAAGAAAAAAAAAGAAAAAAAGAACGAAACTCTCCGCGTATCCTCTCTAATTTCTCTCTCTCTCTCTTTCTTTCTTCCTTCTTCTTCTCTCCCTCGCCCGTCATGACGCGCTCGAACGAACGTGACTCGCATTCGAAATGTGCAATTTCGCAGCGCGACGCGCCTCTCTCCGAGTGCGGCACGAACTCGCGCGATCTTTCCTCATACGCACTGTTTTCTTTGCCTCCACTCTCGTCTCCTTCACCTTTCCCTTTTCTCTGCCTCCTTTTCTTGACTTCTCGCGACGAACTCTCACTTTTTACTTTTCTTTTCTTTTCCCCCTCAAGAATGAGATTTGATACCGTTTGCGTTTTCTCTCGGTAGAAGCGATTTACTACTTTAAACGACACTGTTCCTACGACATCGATCGATTACTTTGAAAAAAGAAAGGAGTCCCAACAATTTCTCTCTATCCATTTTCTTTCTCTAACTCTCTCTCTCTCTCTCTTTCGTTCTCGCATTCTTTCCATTTTCGCCCGCATTTCGCGCATCGCCACGAACGATTGAACATTTTGCTGTTTGCGTGAACTTGCCGCGCGACGCGACAGGTTCTGTCTTTTATTCTCTCCTCTACACTTGTCGCGCTCCCTCCTCCTCCCCCTCCCCCTCCATCGTCGTGCGAACTTCGCGATACGCACCCTCATTTCTATCGCATCACTATCTCTTTTGCACACACTCTTGTGAACTCATTCATATCTCTCTCTCTCTCTCTCTCCCTCTCATTCTCACGAATAACACCTCCGCACTTTTCACACACATCATCGGAGAAGGGCTGACCGCGGGATAACGCGCCTATGAACAACGGCGAGACATCCCTGCTGGCGTGTTTGCTGTCCCCTGCTGATTCAATTCGCAATTTTACATTCGGTTCGCGGGTCTGTGCATACTATAGGCGTGTTTAATAGCTAACCACCACGACTTTTTTCCTTTTTCTATTTTTTTTTAAATTTTGTTTCCTTTATAACATCGACGAAAATTTGCGCTTCGCGGTACACGGGGCCGAGGAAAGTCGAAGGAGTCGTCGGTCCCTCCGAGTTCGGGAAAAGGGGAGTGGGGAGGAGTTGCTTTTAGGAAGGAAAAACATAAGGAAGCGACTACTTAGAATCTCGATCGATCGGAGAGACGATGAAGAACCTTTCGACCTCCCCTCCACCGCGACGGACTAGACATACCGATCTCGTTAACAGTACGATTATAATTATAGCTTAGAAACGAAAACTTCTCCGGGGGTTGCGCACGACCCCCGCTTTTGCAACCGCTCCTCCCCGCGTCGCAATTTCGTCGCGAGGGCGGGAGCGAGTTGCTTATTTTTTTTTTTTTGGAACACCTTGGGAAATCACATTGCGCCCAAGAGAGAGAGAAAGACAGAGTCTCGATCTATCCCGTCGTCGCCCTCCTCGGCGCTGAGAATTCGCCGACGAGGACGACGTCGTCGGTGATGATGCTGGATCCGGATGGGCCGGTCGATCGTCACTCGATCTCACTCGTTATCACGGCTCAACGTGACTAGATTTATCTGGCAGTCGCCGGCTCGATCTCAACGTCACGTGTCGCGACGGCCTGCAATTCCGCACGTGAAGCACTTCCGAGCGGGGAAGTCACGGACGAAGAATCGAACACACACGAGGCGGGATTTCCGGAGTATTCGGCCCGACTGCACAGATCCAGTAGAAAACAGGTCGAACGCTAACATTAAACTATTCATGTCTCAACTACTTCGACCAACGGTCGGATCGTTTTAACGGATACATCTCGGTTTTCTTTTCTTTTTTACGATCAGTCTCCGCTATCGTGTGTTTCCCCATTTTTCATCGCTTCCTCATTTGCGGAGGACTCACTTCGAGGACTTTGAAACTTCGCCGCGATTACGAGCTGCTGCTGACGTCTCGCACGATCACGACAGAAGCAGGACGGTGTCGCGATCGGGCCGACGACTCGCTCTCATTGAGACAAGATTGCTGAGAGTCTTATTTGCGCGACGCTCGGTGATATCCCGATAAGAGCTATTTACAAAGTTCGCCCGGCGCGATATCGCCGACGATGACGACAAACGACGCTCGATTTAGACTGTATTAATTTAAATAACTCGATTCCGATTCTTCGGGGCGTCGCGCGAAGCGTTCGTTTGATAACTCAATCAGCCGAGCGACTCGCCCGAGCTGAACGAATTCCGCGTGAGATGCAGTTTTTGTTTTCGCTCGCTCGAAATAGCAATCTCTTTGTTGATGCCGTGAATCGAGTCGGCAAGAAGAAAGAATATTACTTCCTCAACCGTACTTTCGTCATTCATTCTCTCTCTTTCTCTCTTCCTTCTTTTCTTCCTCCCTCTTTTCTTCTTTCCTTCCCTCCCTTCCTCCCTCTCTCTCTCTCTTTCTCTCTCGTGTTGAAAGGCCACGACTATACTCGTACGTCTCGCACCTCTCAAAATCCCAATTAACAAATTGCTAGATATCACGATGTTCGATAGCGATATAATTGGATAATGAAAGTTTGCTAAAAATTTCACTTCGCCTAAAAACTTATCATCTAAAGTGTCTCGCTTGTCGCGTCGTCTTTCTTTTCAATTCAATCTATAGGTCGACGACGTCTCGCGAATTTAACCGAAACTTGCACAGGACCCATCGAATTATACATTTCTTCCTTTCGCTTCTCGAATTCATCTCTATACTGCCCTCTCCTCCCGTCTCGACGCTTTCGCTCGCTCCGGTTTTTCTCTCGTTTGTTTTCGCAGAGAGAGAAAGAGAGAGAGAAAAATCGACCGATAAAGAGCGACGGCCGGTCGTTCAAACAATCGTCGTGCAATCAATCACGAAGAAGGATACACTTATTCTCACGTAAAAACACAAGTTCTTCTTTATGATCGATCGTACATCGGCGCTTATTTGACCCATCATCAGTTTTCATCGGTCGATTTCTCTATTTGTCTCGCTCTCTCCCTCTCTACCTTTCTCACAAATACACGCACATACACACACACATACATTCGATTCGCCTATCGGACGCACACATCTCTCCCGATATTTCTCCTCGATTACTTTGCTTCGCACGCGCTACTCTCTCTCTCTCTCTCTCTGTCTCTTTCTCTCCCTTCCTCTCTCGCGCCTCTTTACATAGAATACGATTAAACTTCGTCGCCTAATATTGCATGCGCGTGAACACATTTCAAAGGTGAAACAGAAAGACAGTACTTCCTCCCCCGACTCGCTGTCCGCACGTAGCGACTAATAAACCTAACGTGAAACAGAACAACGTCGCACGTGTGTATACAATTGCCCGAACATTTTCCCCGAAGAGGTTCATAACTTTCCTCATTCTTTCTTCCTTCCTTTTCTTCTTTCTTACGAAGAACTCATTAACGATAATTAGGACCCGCCGTCGAGACGCCGATTACGCCTTCATCACGCACGTTGGATGCCGAATGTGGTGTGTCGAGAGCGACGATTTGACGCGAGGTCGCGGGCGACCGTTACACAATCGAGAATTTCGTGCGCTCTAACAGAATAATCCTCGCCGGGCCGAGAGTGCCCACGAGAGGAGCCCTCGGCTGGGCCCGGTCGACACCGGTGTCCTCGGAAACGAAGCGGAAGCTCGCGAAATTAACGCCAACGAGATGCACACACCGGGTGGTGGCCGACGGGGATTCGTTTTCCGCCCCTCCATTTCGCGCGGCACCTCTTCCTCTTCTGCTTCTTCTTCCTCCTCCTCCTCCTCCTCTGTCTCGCGCATTCCACGCACGTCACGCACGATCCGTTGATCACAAAGGGAAATGTATCGGTAAATTTCATTGCAATTTCTCCCCGCGTCTCTCTATCTCTCTCGGACTCTTAAAAAATACAATAATTGGTGACTTCTCATAAAATAATCGAGTGATTCGCTCTGTCTCAAGACTGAGATTCAAAGTCGACGGTGCGTTTGCGCGTCCCGCTGTTTCACGTGTGTGCGTGCGCTACAGTGACTTTCTCAGCTTCGAAACTTTGTTTAAAATCGGGCAACATTTCGCGGGAGATATCGAGCAAGTAAAATTGGCGGCACTCGCAACTTAATAATGAACTGTTGGATCGTTACCAATATTATCATTAATTCAATGATACTCGGAGTAATTTAACGTTTGAATCTGTGTGATATTTGCGGATGAATTTTACCGTACCGACTTTTGCGTGGAGGAATCGAACATCAAGACCCAAGCACACATTTGTTCGCGAAAATGCGCCGTCGAATACGAATCCTCGCTCAAGCAGAACTCGTCCTATTTCATCAAAAAACTGAGGCCTTATCTATTTGAATAATAATAAAGATAGCGTTATATCTCGGACACAGTGTGCGAGCCATTCGGAACGCGAGAGGGACGCGCACGCCTGTTCGATGGCTACCGCCATTAGTTTTACGCACACCGCTGCCGCAAATGTAACTGCCTGTTTGCAAAACAAACGTTTGTCGGACAAATAACGGTCGTTGTTCGACGGACGATTCTTCTTCGATGCCGCCAATGCACCGCGGTCGATCGCTGAGCGCACCGGGTTGCATCAGTATCAGTCGAGCTCAACTCGGTTTAATTAAAGCGATTAACTCAATTTCCCCTCTGTGTTGCAACTAGATCAATGACCCAGAAAGAGATAGAGACGGTCGTTAAAAAAGCAGAATTAGTTAGCCAGCACCGTCGGTGCTAACCGAGTCCATTTTGCTTCCCCCCCCCCCCCCCC